TTTTTTTTCGGTGATAAAAGTCTTTTTTTATAAAAATCCAAAAGGTATCTTGGTGTCTCTTTAAAATGTGTCTCATTCAATGAATCTTCTAGAAGTTCCTCCTTTCAAAAGCCAATTGAATGAATTTTCATGTCCATTGATTATTTCTCACATTTTTACCAAGGATTGCTTCAAACACCTCTTCAAAATTCTTCTAAATTCAATGAATCATCAAATAACTAACTACTTTTGGCACTTAAGCGCGGGGTACTTGGTGCTTAGGCGTGACTCTCTAGCGCTTAGGCGCTGGTGCTGGGCATGTAGGTGCCCCAATTCATTTTTGCACCTTCATCATTTTTTATCCAAATTTAATCATTTTTCACTCCTTTTAGCATTTTTCGTCGATTTTATTGTACCTGAAAGGAAAACACACAAATACCTTTCATTAAAGCGTAATATCTAAAAAATAGGTATAAAAATACTATATTTTAGGTGTATCAGGACACTACCACTGAATCTGCCTTGTTCGAAGCTAATGAAAACCTTCTTCATGCCATTCATGTACATTAGCAAATGCTACATCACAAGACTACTCAAACCAAATTTTATGGAGGAGATAGAAATTCTAGATACTATCTTGTCTGCATCAACTACAGAAGGAAGTGTAATGCAATTCACCAATATAAAAATTCCATGGGCCATTGACAGTGCATTGGCGCATTTCCACAACTTATTCACTCAACCTCCCTTTATTAGAAGAGCTCTACAGACACGTTTATTTACTTCTAAAAAAGTTACACTAGCAGCCTTCACCTTCACACCATTCCCACAGAAGAGTAAATCAAATATGCTCTGGACTCTACTGACAATAATAAGGTGGCTAGCCCAGATTGTTATACTGCTGATTTTTGTAAGAAAGTTTGGCATATCATTAAGCTTGAGATAATTGGTGTTGTTCAAGAATTTTTCAATGGTGTCAATGTCCCTAAGTATTTTACTTCATCCATTATCACTCTTATCTCCAAAGATTCTAAAGAGTAAGAGCTGGGACCATTTCAGACCCATTAGTTTAACTAATGTCATCACAAAGATTATTAGTAAAGTAATTATTTTCATTCTTAAACCTCACTTGAATCAGCTCATCAATCCTAACCAAACTGCTTTTATTAGGGGCAGGAGCATTGTAGACAATGTTTTGCTTGCACAAGAAATGTTACAGGACTTGGACATATGTTGCAGATGAGGGAACCCTATCTACAAGTTGGATATTAGCAAGGCTTATGATACAATCAATTAGGGTTTTGTTGAGGAGGTACTACTGGTAAGAGGTTTCTCCCTTAATTTCATCATTTTAATTATGAGATGGCTCAGCAATAATTCCCATTTCTTGCTTATTAATGGAAATTCTTATGTTTATTTCTAAGCTACCAGAGGTATCAAATAAGGAGACCCCCTTTCCCCCACCATCTTTATATTGGTCTTTGATTATCTATACAAAATGTTTAATCAGGTGTCATCTAATTCTCCCCACACTCAATTCAATCTTGGATCCAATATTTCCATCAGTCATCTATCATATGCAGATGATATCATCCTTTTCTCCAAAGTAATCAAATCTGCAGTTAGTTAGATTCTGAAATGTCTGCATGAATTCCTAGCCTGTTCTGGACTACAATTAAATGACAAAAAATGCCTTATCATCTTTAACAATGGGGTCAAACCACATGTTATGCATTGGATCTCCAACTTTAATATGTTTCAATGAAATAATTCCCCTTTGAAGTATATAGGAGTTCATTTGCTAAAAGGGAGTTGAAAACAAATTCAATTTGATGAGTTGGTCTCCAAAATTCATAAGCAACTTATAAGTTGGACCAATTCCTTTATGTCTAATGGTGGAAAAATTACTCTCCTAAGACATGTCTTAGCAGCTTTCCCCTCTTACATCCTTCAAATGGCCACTATGAAGAAAAGCACTCAACTACTGTTGGAGAGAGTTTTTAATAGATTCCCTTACTCTAACCAAAGGAAGCAGCTGCACTGGACTCATTGAAATTCTATATGCAAACTTGTTGAGAACGGAGGTCTGGATTTTAGAAGTTTCAGTCTCCTGCAACAAATTAACTTTTGCAAACTTTGGATTCAATTCAAGTCTGAATCTTCCCTTTGAGCTCAATTCCTTAAGGGCAAATACTGCATGGAGCTCCACCTATCACTGGTTTCCACCAAGCTGGGAGATTCCAAAATTTGGACTCAAATGCTCAAAGCTAAAAACAAAGCTGAATATCTTTTTATTTGGGCATTGGGAGAAGGTAACATAAACTTATGACTGGATAATTGGATGGGGTAGAGGAAATTGGTTGCAGTTCTCCCTTCACCCAGTAATATAAATCTCAAAGTGTTAGATTGTTGGAATGGGGGACAGTGGAACTTTCAAATGTTGCAAAACATTCTGGATAACCAACAGATTCAAAGAATTATGAGTATTCCACAGGACATTACTAAAAAAGAAAAACTTATTACCAAAAAGAAACCTGCTCAATCTAATACAGTATGCATATACTCTCTTTTGACTATGGACTGCAGACTCCTTGGGGGAAGCTTTTTTGGGGCAAATTCTTATCTCCCTTTATGTCATTCTTCTGCTAGAGACTTTTCTCTAAATTTCTCCCTACTGATGATATCCTGAAAATGAAGGGTTTGAGAGGACCCTCCTGCTGTGTGCCTTGCAGACACCATGAGGAATATGTCGGGCATCTCTTCTTTAGTTGTTCCTTTGTTCAACAGGTCTAGACCAATGTGTTGAATCATATCCAGCTACAAACAATCAACCTGACTTGGTTGAGCTTTTCCACTTGCTGGAAGGAATGACGGCAATTCAATCTTGTCCTCATCCCATGTGTGGCGGCTTAGTTTGTGTGGATGTCCAGGAACCAATCCAAATTTGAGGATAAGCAGCAACATTGTATGAGTGTGGCATCTAACTTTCTTGCTTTCTTAAAGAAACTTATTCATTGGAAAGGTTTTCCAGATCTTCGACTTTTTGGCAATAAACCTCCCCCTCTCAATTATGGAAGCAAACTAGTGTACTGGGTGAAACCAGATTCTAGTTGGTTCAAGGAAAACTCTGATGGGAGCTTTCTCAAGAATGATACTGGCATCAATGGTGTATTCAAAAATTGTCAAGGAAACTTCCTCCTTGCCTTCCAATCACCTATTACTGCTTTGGATTCTTTGGAGGTTGAATCCATTGTTGTCTATTGGGCCATACTCATTGCCTGTAGGGGTAAGATTCAACAATTGATTATTGAAACTGATTCCAACCTATTAGTCAACATTCTCACAAACAAGATGGACTGCCCTTGGCACCTGCTACACTAGATCGACAAGATTAATCTTATGGCCAACAAGCTTAACATTAGATATCTTTTTATTCATAGAGAAGGTAATAGATCTGCCAATTGGTTAGCAAAAGCATGTTTAAATTCACCCTTGAAGGTTCCCACTGGACTTTTAAGGTGAAGCTTTTGTTTGTGTGTGTGTGTGTGTGTGTGTGTGTGTGTGTGTGTGTGTGTGTGTGTGTGTGTGTGTGTGTGTGTGTGTGTGTGTGTGTGTGTGTGTGTGTGTGTGTGTGTGTGTGTGTGTGTGTGTGTGTGTGTGTGTGTGTGTGTGTGTGTGTGTGTGTATTAAAAAGAATGGTCGAAGGCTATTATACGAGCCCCAAACCATCATCATGTGTCTAATTATTCAAGGACCTCCCTCACTATACACATACTAGCCAGAGGGGGATTAAAATAATTGACCTGAAGGGAATTACGACCTTCAAAGAGGCTGCTCTACTAACAGGTCATGGCTAACGACACACACACACACATATATGTCGTGTGTGTATTGTGGCTAGTTTGTGAGCAGTCACTCTAAAGGTCGTAAGTCCCCTCAGGTCATAGGTTCGAAACCTCGGTGTGTAGGGTATGGTACTCGAATATTTAGCACACCTAGGGATGACAAGGGATCATCTAATAGCCTTAGGCCTTTATGAAAAAAAAAGAATACAATATATATATCTATATATATA